TCGACTTTTCCTAGTTAGTTAAAAATAAACAGACATCATTGATTTTTGCCAGTGTCTGACGCCATTGAATTTTGTACTGATAAGATCCTTAATTTTTTGTAATCTATATAATATAGTCTGTACGAAAGAATCTAAGCTTGAATTTTTTATTTCATGGCGAGGCCGGACTTTGGACATGCCTGCCATAGGTCGTCCCCCTAACAGTGAACTACCTCCGAGATCGCATGGAAGCACTGGTTTGTTCACTTAACTCAGGCTGTTGTCTCAACACCCAGTTGCAGTGAATTAAGTTGCCATAATTTGCTTCGCCACCATTACATGAAGTTACACAAGGGTGAGAGAAGTATAACTGATAAAGAAAGCAGTACCTGATCATCGGATTGAAAGGGGGTGGATGTTCTGTTGAATGGTTGATGGGCAAATTTAGAGTATTCGGACGGTGTAGGTCTTCCAATGCAGCACTCATCCTTTGAACAGGCGCTTCTGAGCAGACGTAGAACGCTGTTCGCTTCGTAGTGTGCTTTGCACTTTTTCATTGCAAGATGATGTCGCGGAGTCTAGTCGACACACCACCAGCTGTCAACATTGCAGAACAATTCCTCGAAGTGCCTGATTGGCTTACTCTTGCTGTGTCATCTTCGACGTTCGCACCCTCTGAGAGATTACTGCGCCCAATCGCAAAATTCATATTCTCTTCCAAATTTTAAAACACTTGTGGAGGTGACAGGATATAGGCCTGTTGGCTAAGGAATGGCTTGCAATCTCGCACTGCCAAGTGTTGCTTTTTCGTAAGATAGACATCCGCTTCGTGTTGAAAATAATAATTGATTTTGATAATTGTTTCTTGCGTAGCGCCATCAAATGAGGGATACTGTCGTACAATGATTGGCATTTGGCAACAAAACCTCTGGTTAATAACCAAACCATGTTGCGGAACATTGGCTGTATACACTGGAAGATCGCTTCTGAACAAGGTGTCCTGTGGATTGAAGCACCGGATCAGTCAGACGGTAACTTGAGAAAATGTCAGGAAGTAAATTGACCGAGATTTAGTATGGCTAGTGCATGACGTTTTCTTCCGCATTACAGCTTTGAGACTGGCCGCATAAGTGGCCAGCTGCTTTGCCTGAAATGGAGAAGTCGCAGTCGATTTAGCTCCCGATTCGTTTCTTCTCACACACAGCTATTGTCCTTTCAGCTCAACCACTTTACTTCTTCGAACCACCGTTTTATTCTAATGTGCTTTAGGTGGCCGAGTGGTCTTTACGCCTGGCTTGCAATCATAAGGTCACCGGTTCGGATCTGCGTAGGGGCGGGCGTCCTCGTGATATACTCAGTCAACGCGTGACAATGAAGCTCCGTTACGGCGTACTGCTGACGATTATTTTTATTATTTACTCAGTTCTATGCTTTATTGCCATTGTGAGTTCTTACCGTGGATGTCATGGTGATGCGTGACAAAGGAACTAGGTTCATCGTACTTTACCACTGAAATCGCAGCTGTTTAGCCACACCAAACAACTGAAATTATCCACCGCACCTGCTTGAGTTAACCGTTTTGTTGTTTCCTGGTAAACTGCAGCTCTGTTATATCGTGGACGTTCCTGAGGCTTACCGGTGTACTTTCCTTCTCAAAATTGATCTTCCTTAGAGTTAACGCTAGGCAGCATATCATTCACCGCTCTAAGTCTCGATTCCTCAACTGGCTATTTACTTAGTGGAAAGTGACTTCTATCGTCGATCATTTCGTTTGTGTAGGTCTTGTTCACTTTTGAATCCTTCAGATTCAAGAAAATCCTAAAGCTGCCGCTTGTAGAAGGCCTATATGTTGTGGTAACATTAGTCGGAAGGCATAAGCGGTACGCCTTTGCGACGCTTCGATGTCACCTCCGGTCGAGTGTGTGAGGTCAGTCGCATTCACGCAGATTCGATTTGATGATCTTCGGGTTGCACAAGGCAAGCTCCGTTCGGCTAACGGTCGAGTGACCCGCGGGCGACTGATAGTGGTAGTGCGGTGCGTCGTCGTACTTCTGGTGGCTCTTTCTATTTTATCGTTTGGAATTTCGACGGTTGGTATACTTGTGTTACACTTCTCGTCCAACGCTCAACTCCATCTGTGCTTCGGGCTTGTCCGGATCAACATGGCAATAGTGTTTTGTGGGTCGTCACCAGGTTACTTCAAGGGTCATAAGGATAGGCGTACCCCATGTTCAGTCTGAGTGCAATCTCGATGTTCTGTTAGGACCTTATCTTTACTGTGTTCTGAAAATCGGCCCGGGTTTAAATCGTCTACTTAATCCCACCAAATTACGTGGTTTTCACAAAACTGCGTTCTGATCGGATTAGAATGAGAATTCTTTTGACATACCTCATTACCGATCACAATTTGCTCCCAGAGTACACGGTTTAGTTGAGTGACCCGTATTTTATAGTTGACTTGTGTTCTATGTCTAATTTTGCTTCCTCTACTTTACTGCACACATAAGCATTGGTTTGAACGATAGCCTACCTGTATTATCTACTCATTTGGCCTGTGTGGAACTGATTCATCGGCCACTGCGACTTTCGTTGGCTTTTTTAAGGTCATCAAGCGACTCACCCGAGAAGGGACACTCAAGGGTTTGCTTATGGTCTAAATCTTCCTTTAATTTCAAGTGGATCTTTGTGAGTGTAAAACCGCGCTTCATTATCTGTTCCATAATTAACTAACAAAAAGAACAATTATTCTTTCCTTAGTGTGTTTATAAATAATTGTATCACCGTGGCACTCTGGTCCACAACCAAATGCTTTGTTTCGAAACACCTACAAAGTGACAGGGATATGGTCGTTAAGACAATCGACGTACGAGGTTGTGCCCTGGCTGGAAGGTGAATGTGGTGTACCATAACCTCCACTGAGTGGGCAACACAAGGCATCCAGACTCTGAGTTGATGGCGGTAACTGGTCAGCGATCTCAGCTGGCCGTCACCTAGCATTAGGTCCAGTGATGTACACGTGGCGGGTGTTGGTATTCGGTGGCCCATGCTTACGATGTACTTAAATCCTTATGAGTGGCTGAGACGAATCAGTAAAATTTCATCAAAAATTCTCCTACTCATTACTAGTCAAAGATTCGCCATTTTCCAAATGCTATGCGTACATAATTGTTATGTAGAAGTCGTGACCTCTGGAGGCCAGTCAATGTCCTCGGCAATTGTAGTGACCTGCATGGCAGTGGTCGTGTTATGGTCGATTTAGCTAGCAAGTTGTGACAATCTACCGTGGTCTCCGTTAGGTCATTGACATAAGCTGCTAGCTAGCTGGCGCACGATACTAGCGATCATAGGGGACCAATGCCTTAATAATGCGAAACCATCGTCTAGTGCTATTCTGGAATGGAGTTGGACTGTTTGACTTGTGAGCTGCTGAGACGAATCAGTGAAATTTCATCAAAAATCCTTCTACCCAACAGCAATTTCTTTCCCGTTTGCAAGGAACGACTACTGGGATAATATGTATGAGTGATTTGTCTACGTGGAACTGAAAAACCGGAACTACGGTTACATCGGTCAAATCCTTTTCTTTCAGCGTAATGACCACGATGAGGGATTTCTCCGAATCAGCTACCGATATTAAGCGGCCCCAGTTTGGTGGACGCCATTTGTCAGATGAAACATGCGTCTTCAATCACAATGCGTGGTAAGTATTTCGGTTCGTTTTAAACTTTTCTTCTGAAGGGATGATGTCCATTGGACAGAAGAAGTGAAAGAAAGAGCTGTTGAACTGGTATCCACGAACACAAACGAAAAACTGCCACCAGAAGTTCGAGGTCCGTCCGAATCTATCAACATTCCTATATCATATTATCTGATAGAAATTTACGAAAAAAATTCAAGCAAATATTGGGACCAATTTTATAGACTGCACGAAAACCGTTTTTTCAAAAGCCGTTCTTGGTTGCCCACAGAATTTCCCGAATTATTCAACACCGTTTGTGAGTCAGCGGATCGAAGTGTGATTTTCGAAGTTGGATGCGGCACAGGGAGCACCACGCTGCCTATTATTCGTGATACAAAGTAACTCCTTTTGTTCAAGTTTTACATTTTAGAAACACATTTGTTTACGCATCAGATTTCTCGCCAGAGGCTGTGGATTGTCTACGAGTATGTCCAAATTCATAGCCTCCGAACAATCTTCCCCATAGCAATCACCTGAATTCGACCCCTCCCGTTGTCACGCTTTCGTCTTCGATGTCACGAGTGAGGAATACGAACTTCCATTTCCACTAGCTAGTTTAGACTTCGTCCTGATTGTGTTCGTTCTTTCGGCTATCGATCCGCAATTGTTAGTTTCTTTTTCATAACCAGTATCCAGTTTCCACAAGATATTGGCCAATCTTACGAATTATCTGAAGCCAGGCGGTATGATACTTTTCCGTGATTATGGGCGGCTTGATATGGCTCAGCTGAGATTTAAGAAAGGTAAATGCTTAGCGGACAACTTCTACCTTCGTTCTGATGGGACCAGAGTGTATTTCTTTGAACAAGGTGCGTATTTCCATTTAATGCTAACTTTATTTCTGATAATACAGAAGAACTTCGAAGACTATTTGAAGGTTGTGGATTGGAAGAAGTGCAAAACAGAACTGATCGGCGATTATTGGTCAATCGTAAGCAGAAGCTGCAAATGTACCGCGTGTGGATCCAATGTAAATACAGAAAGAACTGATGTCAGCCTCCTTGATTTTCTCCCCTCATCATTATTAATTAAGTGCTGGACCCAACATTACAGTCGACGTGCCCGAGAGAGTAAGATAGTGTAACTGTTCAGGCGCTTAACTTGCAGTCTCCACTACCCAAGTTCGAGCCCTCGCAATATCTTAGCTCCCGTCTGCGACCGCCTGCCGCTGTGTCGGTACGAAGTACTGGCATACTGATGATGCCCTCCATGACTGAGAACGAGTCAGCCTTACAATTTATTCAGCCTTTATTAAACCCATGTGCCGTGCTTTTAAACGGCATCGGCGTTCCTTTATCGTGAGCCCGCGCCATTTGTCAACCCTCGTGGTCGTTTCTGAAACTCATAGTCAGACGTCTCGGGGTTGGGATTGACATTCCGGCGGAACCACTGATCGAAATCACAGAAATCGTGCCACTATCTAGGCTCGGAAGCCGGTGAACATATGATCTCGAGTGCATTTTTAAAGATATTTTCGATCTGCACTCATTGTTATGTTTCCGTTATCAACATGGATACCAGTTGTTGTGGAGTTCTCCGAGCTGGGCAACTTGGTTGCAAACGTTTCGCCACCATTCGAGGTGGTATCTTCAGTGCGGGATTGATAGCAGTTAAGTTAACTGCTGTCAATCCCGCACTGAAGATGCCACCTCGAATGGTGGCGAAACGTTTGCGACCAAGTTGCCCAGCTCGGAACTCCACAACAACTGAGCAAGCCCCCCGAGCTACCAATATTCCAACTCATTTCGAACATGGATACCCGATACAACTATTCGAATCACGGTCCAACCACTTCCCGAAACAAGACAGACTCAACAAACAGCATTGTGATTACAGTCTAAATATGCCCACTTACAGAGTACAGAAGAAATGACCTATGCTAGCAGGGGCCGGGAAACTCTCTTGCCCTATAAGTTTTGGGTTGGGTTGGTCCGGGCTCCTGCTGATGATATTGACAAAGAAACAGGCTTGAACGGCTTCTATAAGCTAGTTTTCTTAACACTTGTCTACCCTACTGATCAACAAAGGATGGCTTTACAATTTCCACCGACATCATAGCTTAGCATATCGCGAGTACCGGCAATGGGCAAGTCCCTTTGCAGTTGAACGTTTTGTTACAACAGGAATGTTCGTCGTTATGTGGACGCGTGGCGAGGACAGAAATGAAGGAACCGAATTGACCGATAATTTCGCATACATGTAAAATCCGTACTTGATGGGAAGGCGGTGTAAATTTGAGTTCAGAAAAGCTTTTCGTTCTGTGGGCACCATGTGTCCCGGTGAAAATTTTCGTGTATAGTTTGTAGTCGACATGCGACTGAAGATAGCGGTAAGCATCACAAATGCGACGAGGATCCACCCCGAAGCTAAGTCCCTGCTTCGATAGGTGAATCGCAGCGATTGCAATATCCCCATTTCTGATCATTTAGATCAGATCTGCTCATGACATTCATCTTTGACAACACAGGGGCTATAGTCAATTGGCAGGTAGCGGAAAGGGCTGCACACTTGCCTTGTCATCCACTGATCATTGGGCCCCGCAGTGCACCCACCTCACGCGCGACTGATGGTTGCTTGGCGGCGGAGCGTCCGTGCGATGTGCCGGTGTACTGCTGACAGCCAGTGCTAAAATATAGGACATTTTATTTTAGGCCACTGCTTATTAACACCGGCTTGGCTCCGAACTCGAGCTGTGGTGGACGTACTGTAGCGAGAACGACAAGACAGGGGGTAGACGTTTATTGCACACCGAAAATGGGCACACCCGGGTCTCACGCGCGCCATCGAATATCGACTAGACTTCCGTCCCACCACGCAACACAGGTACGGATGTTAGAGGCGAGCCAGTCCTTTCGTCTCTGGAGCTCTGACTTGGAAGTCCCGCCTTCCTGTTTTCGCCTCGATCTCCGCTTCTTTGCACCCGATTTGGATCGGCCAGGAGTCGTTCGAGAGCTCTCGACTTGCTTGTTCTGGGCTGTGTCAATCGGCTCGGCCTGGGTCCTGTGGGCTGCGCTAGCGGCGTATTTGTCTGATTTATTGCGCTTTCCACAGATTCCCGCTCCGTAGTTCCGGGCCCAGGCTCGTCGCTAGCCGTCTTTCGCGATCCGCTCTCAGCTAGCTCCGAAGAGCCATTCTTGAAGCGGCCCCTCTACA